AATTTCCGAACATTTCTATTCTGTCTTGTCTGAAGATACACCAGACACAAGCTTGTGTCTGCTTGTCTGTCCTTGGCAGGTAGGAAAGCAGGGGGAAACCTGCTTGCTTTCTGGGATTTCTTTGGTGCCCTGAGTATTGAGGTCATCTGAGTCTTCCTGAAGGCTGGTCTGCCCTCACTTGTCAGATGGGAAAACTGAGGTTCTGAGGGGCAGAGGCCACAGTGGGAGCCATTGGAGGGCCGGAACCTGGGTGTTCTGTCTCCAAATGCCACGTTCCTTCTATGCCATATAGCACCTCCCACCTACAGGGTTTGTTTGCAGAGGACAGTCACATGTGTGCATGTCTGTGGTCCCCACAACAGCCCTGTGGGGTAGGCAGTGGGGGCCCCACCAGCTCCCCCATTCCACTGACCCAGACACAGAAGCTCAGAGAGCTGAAGGGACCTGTCCAGCATCATGGTTAGACCAAATGACCAGAACTGAGTGTTTTCTGCCCTTTTCTAAGCTGAACCAATGCATGAGATGACACTAGGGCTTTCTGAACCACCATAAGGACCCCACAAGTGCCCCCAGCCTGGTCCCTCTGTGTTCCTCAAGTATCACCAGAAGGGAAGGCCCAGCAAGGCCTCCTTGCACATGTAAAGGGCCTATGGTATCTGGTCGTGCACAAAAAAACCAGCATTCAAATGGCTGTTATATAGGGAATTCAGAACATGGGAAGAAACGAATCAAGGAACATCCCCTGGGGGAGGCAGGCTGCTGCAGCCTGAAGGCGGGAAGGAGTTGGATCATGGAGAGGAAGGAGGTAGCCCAGGGAGGTGGGAAAGGGGAGACACTGAGATGAAGGATGAGAGGGGGAAACGGACATTTCTGGAGGTTCCACATTTCAACACAACCTCATGAACTGGGGCTACGATCAGAAACGGGGAGAAGCTTGTTGAGGGTCCCTGGCTAAGGAGGGTAGAAGTGGGACTGGTAGTCAGTCTGTCTCACCCCGAGTCCAGGCCCCAACCACGGGATGGGGAGAGGGACCAGTCCATCTTGAGCTTCCCTGTGCAGCACTGTGCTGGGGATCCACCCACAGCACATCATGAATGACACTCCTATTGTCCTCCCAGGGAAATGGGCTCAGAGAAGTGAAACCACGTGCCCAAGGCCACACAGCAAGTTCACTTGAGAGCTCAGGTCCTGTTCAGCCCAGCCTGACGCTCTGCTCTTTCTATCACACTGCACAGCTTCTCCCCATTCGCTCTGCAGAACAGAGCCTAAGGTCTGTGGGGCCCAGGGGAGAGCTGGGCACAACCTCCTGAGAGCTTCCAGCTCCGAGCTCCGGACTGCTCAGACCTGTGTGGGCAAGAGGATTGATGCAGAAACACATCCTGGTAGTGTCATCTATCTGCATATGGCCAAGAACAGCAGGGCCTATAACAGTGAGACCGATGAGATCTGGTTGGGTGGTGGGATGGTGGATGAATTTTGTTCTTCATTTTATTTGAGATATTTGTGCAGTGCAAAACTCAGTCACCATGACGAGGTTGTGCCTGTGTGGACCAAGCACGAAGTAGAGTGTCACAGGCTAAAAGTGGGTCCCAGGTGGTCAGGGGGTGACTGCCACAGGGCAGTGGTGGCCAGGGAAGCCTTCATGCAGGAGGTGGGGATTGAGCAGATGGGAAGGAGTTAAATGGGCAAAGAGGAAGAAATAAGACTAGGAAGAGAGGACAGGCTCAGCCAAGGCAGACTGAAGGGAGCAAGACAAAACAGATAGTAGTAGAGGCAGAGTGAGAGATGGGGCATGGTAAATGTACTTTCAGGGCTAGGAGGGGTGCTGAACGCAGTGCCCTCAGTGGGCCACTCTCCAATGTCCCCACTCACAGCCTGTCCACGCCCTGCTCATAGACAGTCAGTGACAGGGAACTCACTACCTTACAGGCAGCCTCTTTTGTCCAGTAATGGTTCTGACTGTTACAGATTTCTCTTTCCAATTACACTGCTTGCTAAGGAGCCAACTATGTCCCCTTCTCGGTTTCTCCCATGAATTTGAGCCGAGCCACACTCCCTTCCCCTGCTGACCCCACGCAATTGGATTTCAGGGCTTCAGGCTCACCATGGAGCTCCACTTTCTTCCATCTGGTTCATCCTGTGTCCTGTGATCATCTTTCTGTATCCTGACTCTTGCTTTCTTTTTGCCACCTTCCCTGCACTTGTGGGCTCTGAGAGACTGATGGGAACACTTTGCACATTGCAACAGGACAGAGCCCCGGGAAAGGCCACTAGAAATCGTCCACCAGATTACCGGCAACCCAAGAGCCAGCACAAACCCACCGAGATCTCCAGGCTCCCGCATGCCCCTCTCCTTCCTGCCCACAGCGACATCCTGGAGACCTTGACTGATGTCTCCTGACATCCAGAGCCCCCAGGCCTACTCTATCTACGCAGGCTTCCAGCCAGATGAACAGATGGAGACCAAGGTCGCTGGTTCACTTGGGCTCGGAGGGCCTGCAGTGGCTTCTTGGGGTCACCCTTTCTCATCTCAGTGCCCACAGACCACCCTTCCAAGATGACTGGGAACCCTGCCAAGACCAATGCCGACCCCACAGCTCAGGATTCACAGGATTCGCTGGGATCCCTGCTGAGACGTGGAACACCTTCTGTCTGTCTCTGGTCCCCTTGTTCTTCCCCACTACGGGGTGAGCTCCCTTCTGAGTCTCCAAGGGCCTGCAAGCCTCAGCTCTCCTGCAGGATCTGTCGGTCTCCTGGGACTTCTGGTCTCCCTAGGGACATCCCAGCCTCTCCAAGTTTTGAGGCTTCTTGACAGGGAGTTGGCACACACAGCCAGAGAGCTCTCCAGGCTCTCCAGAGCACCTCCTCACTCCCCACTTCTGCTTCTCGTTCTGAAATCTCCTGCTCCCATCCTCTGCCTTCAGCATCATCTTATTTTTGGCACTTCTGTTCCCATGGGGCCCTCCTGCCCCTGCCACCCTGTGACTCACTCCAGGTTGGCTGGCTGGGTTCCCATGCATCTCTGCCCGTCATGTCTTTTCTAGGGTCTCTCTGCACCTGTGCCCTCCTCCTTGGCTGGTTTGTGATGCTGTTGGACCAGTGATTCTGAACACATTCTCTCTCCAGCCTCCTGCCAGCATCCTCCCCTCTTCCCTCTTCTCCAAACTGCCTGAAGTTTCCATGCCTGCCCTGGGCTTCCACACAACCAGAGGACTCACCTGGCCACTGCCCCCAAGGATGCCCTGTCTGTCAATCACTTCATCCCAGAGGGAAGAACCAGGGCCACAGGGCCGTGACCATTTATTGAGCTCTCATGTGGCCCTATGTTCTGAGAGGTCATTTGAGACTTTCTGTGGTCTCTCAGTGAGACCCCAGGGGCTTTGCACTTGCTGTCTCTCTGCCTGGAATACTTTCTCTTCTCAATATTCTGATTTTAGGTCAAATGCAACCTCTTCAGACAGACCTTCCCTGACCAACTCAGATTCTTGTGCCTTTCCTGCAGGTCTCTGTATATCATTATCATGATGGAACATCTTCATCTGACTTACCATTATCTGAAGTTACCTTACATGTTTGCTTGCTTGCTCCTTTATTGGTTCTCTCCTTTACTAAATTCTAAGCTCCAGGACAGCAGGGACCTTGTTTGTTCCCTTAACCAGTGGCACATAGTATATGCTTAACAAATGCTGGTTAAATAAATGTTGGATAAATAAACGCCCCCACTTCTATTCTCACTCTTACCATCCTGCCCCGCAGACCTGTTCTTATTTCCAGGACATTCCACACTCTGTCAGACCTCTGTGCCTTTGCACGTGGTTGCCCCTACTAGGAGAGCCCTTTCTCTACGATTGGACTTGGAAAGCTCCTATGCATCCTTTAAAACCCAGCTCAACGGCCTCTCCTCCAGGGAGCTCTGCTCCTTCCTTGGCTTTCTCACAACAGCTGCCTCACACCCCTACTGTGGGATTAGCTGTTGGTAGGCCTAAACCCCCAAGGCCATTCAGGCTGGGGGCTCCCATGGGCAGGGGCTGGGCTTGAAACACTGGTGGGTCGGGCTGGAGATGGTCCCAACACTTGGCCTGAGTGCCCAGAGCAGCTTTGCAGAGGGTGTTTGCTGAGCACTGCGGGACACGAAAGCCTTTTGGCTGTCCCTGTGAAAAGGGGTCTCACCTGGCTGGTGTCTCACCCCTGCAGGGTCTCCCCACCCCTTCCCTACCCCTGTAGCTGCCAGAGTGAGCTTGTAAAAATGTAAACATGATCAGCTCACGGCTTAAAACCATTCCAGAGAATCCCCATCACACTGGGAATACTTTCCAAACTGCTGACAATGGCCCATGAGGTCTGACCTCTGGCCTCTCCACTCTCTCCATTTCACTGCAGCCTCCAGCCAGACCTGCCTCTGGGCTTTCGCCCCTGTGGTTCCCTCTGCCTGGTGTGCTCTTCCTCGGATAGCTACAAGGTCAGCTCCTCCTCACCACCCACACTCAGTGCACCTTGTGCCCCGTTTCTTTTCTTCACATGCTTCTCCCCACAGGAATTTTCACATCGCCTCCCTGCTCCTCACTTCGCCACAAGCTCCCAGGGCTGGGCCTTCCCTGCTTCACTCACTGCCGCAGCCCCGTGCCTGGACCCATTCCTGGCACACAGTCAGTGGCCAGAACGCTTATCACCTAACTGATTCTCATCTCTGATGAGAGTGGGCTTCAGTGTTCAGCTTTTTAGTACACCAAGTCACCAGGAGGTCAGTGCCATGAGGGCAGGGATGCTTTGTCCATTTTATTCACTGCAGTCTCCCCAGGGCTCAGGCAGCTGAGTGCACAGTAGGCTCAATATGTGTTTGCAAGGGAAAAGGAAGGCAGTTCTCACTTGGGGCTGAGCTGGCTGGAGATACCAGAGCCAAGGATAAAAGCCTCTGAGTCCCTTCTACCTCATGAAGGGGACACGCAGGCATTCCCTGTGCATGGCGACAGGAGTGAGCCCAACAGCGGGCTGAAGCTCACCTGACAGCAGCATGGGGTCCTTGTCCACAGACTTGCGCACCTGGTCAGACTCTCCGGTCAGGGAGCTCTCATCAATCTTGAGGTCATTGCCCTGGATGAAGAGGCCGTCGGCAGGGAGGAGGTCACCTGGCAAGAGGAAGGGCAGGGGAGTCAGCAGGCTCTCAGCTGTCTAGAAGGCTCCTCCTTGGATAGTTCCCTTAGAGGTATGATTTCCACGGAAGGTTTGCCATCAGGGACAGAATGCTTAGAGCTCCCAGGGTGCAGGAACCAAGATGGTGCCCATAGAAGGCCCATGTGCAGCTCAAGACTGGAGCTAAGGTGCACACAGGCCTGGAGGGCTGAGGCTGGGCCCCTGCCACCCTCACTCAAGCGGGCATGTACTTTACGAAGTGTTTCTCTCGACCTCGCTTGGACTGGGAGTGCAGATCTCCCAACAACTCATTCTTCTTTGGTCTCAGTTATGGTTTGGGGAAATGTTTTGGAAGGAACCAGTCTGCTTTGGCTGGGTTGATAAGACCCCAACCAAGTCACATTGTCAAGGGGAAATCAAGCCCTTTAGGGCAGAGTGAGGAGGGGCACTCAAACCTCTCCCCTAACTTCTGCCTCAACTTACCCAGGACATATCTGGCTCAAACTCCCTTTGGCGCCAGCCTGCCTGTTTTCTCCATGGCAGTAGCACAGGCCCAGAATATCCACTTACCTACTTACACTGTCTCCAATGTCTCCTCTAGCCCAACAACCATCCATGAACAGCCAAATCAGGGATGGGAAATAGAGTTCATCTAATAAGCCCATTCTGAGTATTAGTGGTTGTTGTAGTGCTGTGCTGAGAAGGCTTCTGAGGCCATATCCAGGCTCTGAGCTGTGACTGATTCGTAGTGACTGCTACGGGTGGAAGTTTGGAGAATGGCAGCACACGTGCCATGTATTTGTCATTTCTGATTTAAATGGATTCTGGGATTGTACCTCCTCCAGGAAGTAACCTTCCACCTCCTAAAGGATCTCAGAAGACATCTTAGCTTGGGATCAAACTTCAGGAATGCACCCCCTTCCTTGAGCCAGTCTCTTTGCATCAGCCTGGCCTGTCCCACCTATGCCCAGAATCCAGCTTTAGAACCTGGCTCTGTGGCTGGGACACTTACCATATTTGACCTGGGCTATGTCCCCAACCACGATCTCAGCCACAGGGATCTGGACCACCTGGCCAGCCCGGACCACGGTGAACTTCTGTTCCTGCTCGATGCGGCTCTGCAGGCCCCGGAACTGTTTCTCTTTGCTCCAGTCATTGAAGGCCGTGACCAGGACCACACAGATGACTGAGAGGAGAATGGCGGCCCCCTCGATCCAGCCCGCCTCTGCCTCTCCTTCATCCTCTGCCCCACCCTGGGCTGTTGCGCATCCTGGAAAACCAGACAGAAGCAGGCAGATTGAGGTGAGCCAGGCAGGAGAGGCCTCATGACCTGGATTTATAGCCCAGTTCTGGCAAGTAGCAAGTGTTAAGAATCAAAGGATAATTATCCACTTATTCAATGTGTCTGGGTACCAAACCCTGTGCAGAGTGCTTCACATGGATCATCTCACAGGGAACTCACACTGCCCATTTCACAGATATGGAAGCTGAGGTTTCTCAGAGAGGTCAAGTGACTTGTCCAAGCTATGAAGGGCAAGTAGAAAGCCAGAATGTGAACCCAGGCAGTCTGCCTTCAGAGCCCACAGTCTTAGCCTCTGAAGTTTTCTGCCTTTGTTCTAGCTGTGAAATCTAGGGCAAATGACTCCCTTTCTGAAACTCATTTTCTCATCTGCGTAAAATGGGAAGAGTATTCTTTATCTTGGGCACTATTTTGGGAGCTGAAATTTAATGTGGTAAAGTTCACGGATGCTATAGCACAGACAAGACACAGAGGAGAGAAAGGGAGAATTTTCTCTAATTGATGAGAAAAGACAAGGAATTTTTTCTAATTCATGAGAAAAGAGAAAAAGTGAGTTTTTTTCCCCCACAGAATAAATGCAACCATATTGCATGTGCTTTAGAGTCTGAAAAGGCGGTTTTGCCGATGTCCTCTTCTGCTGTAGGAGTCTCATTACGTTGCCCAGGCAGGTTGGGAAGACGAGCTGGTTCTAATTCTGCTGCTGCCTCTGTATGATTTTGGACAAGTCATTGCCCTTCCCCAGCATCAGTGGCCTCATCTGCAAAACAGGCATCACTGAAACTGCCTTCCAGGGCTCAGGGAGAGGAAGGTGGAAGCTCCTGGCCAGAGTTCAGTACACAGGAGGTTCTAACTCAGTCCTTGTCAGACAGCTGAGGAGTGAGCCCCACTCCACAGTGAGGACGCTGATGCTTGAGCTGCAGGCCGCCTGTCTGACCTACAGGGATCCTGCACCCCACACCCTTGCACCACTGAGCCCCTCCCCAGTCTAGACCCCCAAAACTCTCAAGGTCTGCCAGGCCCACAGGGTGAACAGAAAAAGAAGAACCCAGGCACATCTTATCTGAAGCCGTCAGACCCAAAGGTAGGTCCTACCCATGCGATGCTGGGACTAAGGCCTTTCCACGCCTCTCTCTCATCTCCACAAGGATCCTGAGAGCAAGAGGGGGAGGCTTAGGAGGTGAGGTACCACAGCCAGGCCAGGACACGCCCAGGCCTTTACTTCCCCTGGGACCGGGGGAGTGGCCATTTCCATGGAAAGGAATCTCCAGGAGATTCTGACCATCCTTCCTGGAAAACTCAGTGCAGTTCCCCTCCACGGGGGCCAGGTGGGGCTCTGGACACCTTGCAAGGCCTGCTGTGCACCCAGCATTAACGCTAACCCTCAAGCTGGCTGAGAGACGGGTGGCGGTTCAGAGAGAAGCAGACACTTACCTGGGGTCACACAGCAGATAATGGGGTTTGAATCTGGGTCTGGAATCTGACACCAGACCTGGCCTGTTCACTCTCCCTGAGCCCAGCGGCCCCCTCTGCCATGTGTTTGCCAAAGATTCAGGGCCGAACATCTGGAAATCCAAGTCTGTCTCAAGGAACAGAGAACAGAAGCTTCAAGAGACCCCAGTGGAAGCTTCTGGAAAGCCAGAGGTCAGAATCAACATGACAAGAAGGCCAAGTGGCACTCAAGGAATGTTCATGGGCTTTTGGCTCCTGAGAAGGTCGAGCCCAAGCCTGGGGAGATACGGACTCACTGCGGTCCAGCTGCATGTGCATTGGAAATTTCCAGGTCTTACACTGAACCAGCTGTTCCCTTCGGGCCCGTAAACAATGCCATCATGTGGGGTTCCCAAAGCCACCTTTCTCCCCACTTGGGAGTTTCAGATATTTCTAGTAATTTTAAACTGCTTAGTAGGACCCGCCTTGGAGTAATGGTAATCATAATTGTGCTAATGGTAACCAAGTCTGAATCCCAGCTGCGCTAACTGCTGTGTGCCCATGAACTTGCTATGTAACCACTGTGCCTGCTTCGTTTTGTTTTTGCTCCTCTGCAAAATGGCAGGCTCTCTCTCATGAGGCGCTTGACAGGATTAAGAGAGAGACTTCGTGTAAAACACCCACTGCAGTGAGCACACAGTAAATGCTCAGTTAAAGCTGGTGCTTCTTATTTTCCAGTGTGTGGGTGAGCATTATCGCTCAAGTTCCACAGCCTGGCTTTATGAAGCCCTGAGGCCCACATTACAAAGGGGCTCCTGCTGGATTTGAGTGACATATGATGATGGGAGGAGAGGAACTGGGGAATGGTGCCTCCTGTACCACCATGAAGACACCATAGAGACCCCAAAGACTAGGAAACACATGTGAACTTTGCTAAACAGAAACCCAGAACATGGAAAGGCATTCTCTTTGGGGCTTAGGGGCACGGAGGGGGAAGAAGTGGGATTATAAAGCCTCATGCTGCATTTTACAAGATTTTTGTTATTCCCTGCCCCTTGCTGTGTTCTCTGGAAATGGGAAGGCTGTTATTTCCCCTGCTGTGTGCTTCCTCAATGGGACCCTCATTAGAGTAGCTACTGGGGCATTTGGACACTTAGACACAAAGTAAGCTTTCAGGCTCTGGAATCAGAAAGACCTAGTTTAAATCCAGTCTCTGCTGTGTGACTTTAGGTAAGTGACTTGGCCTCTCTCAGCCTCAGGTTAGACAGCTGTGAAGTGAGATAACCTCAGGGATTTGTGAGCTAACGGCCTGACACCTGATAGATACATGATAAAAGTTGGTCCTCTCCCCTTTTCATGGGCTTTTTTCCTTGGACTGGGCTCTGAAAGCCAAGGGCACAGTGACTGAGTGGGATTGGTACCCTGTTTCAACTCCCAGCCCTACCTGCTGCCCTTGCTGACTCTATACCAAGGAACCCTCAGAGGGCACTCACTCTGCCAGCAAAAGCCAATTAGCTTTTATCTCCTGAGAACTGTCTGATGGTCACATGGGTGCCCTGGGATGGATAGAAAGTGGGAGTGCAGATCACTGGGGTAGGGATTTGGCCATCTGGAAGCTGTCTGACCCTAGGAACAACTCCTGCTGCCCCTGGAACAATTAAGAAGAGAATCGGAAGGGGAGGGAAGAGGGGAGCAGGTGGGTCCTGCTGAGATCTCCTCTGGGGCTCCCTTGGACTGGGGCAGGGACAGGATCTGGAGATTGTGGCCATAGGGTCCAGGGAACTGCAACTGCTCTCCCTGGACCTAGGGCTGTAGAGGGTGTGGCCTCTCCCCGTCTGTACAAGCTTGGGTACCCACTTGGCATCTCTGGGCTTGTCTGCATGTTCACCAGTAAAATGGGGAGTCTGCCTCCCAGGTGGCTACCAGGGCCTGATATCCAACAAAGATCCTCCAAACTGGTTGAGCCATAAACATTTTCTAAGCACCTACTATGTGCCTGTCACTCTGTTGGCACTCTGGCACTAGGGGAGTTGTCACCAGCAGGGGCAGGGGCAGTGAGTGTGCCAATCCTAGCCCTGCCATGAACACGCTGTCTGACCTAGGATAAGTGTCTCTCTGCAGCACCCACAGCCCTGCCACAACTGCTTTCTCAGTGATGAGTATGAGATAAGACCTTCCCAAGGTGACGCACCAGGAAGTGATATAGCCAGGACTCAAAGCAGGCTTCCTAACTTTAAGTTTGGGGATGCTTTTATACTCCTCACTCCTGCTCATCAGGGGGCATCCAGCCCACCCTGGCCCAGCTTGGCCCAGTGGTTTTAGGGAAAAAGATGAGATGAAGTGTGGGGCAGTGCCCCAGCAGTTAGGCATTAGGTAAAACTAGACAGTGTGTACAGACAGCAACTGTGTCACCGCTGGACAAGGGCCCTGCGGTCACTCAGCAAACACAGTCATGTGCCGGGTAAGGTCATTTCTGATAGTGGCAGGCTGCATTTACCACAGTGGTCTCGTAAGATTATAATACTGTATTTTGACTGTACCTTCTCTATGTTTAGATACCAAATACTCACCATTGTGTTACAGCTACCTACAGGATTCAGCATGGTCACATGCGCACAGGTGCCTAGCCTAGGGGCAATGGGCTGCACCACACAGCTCAGGTGTGTAGCGGGCTGTGGTACATCGTACCACGATGTTGGTACGATGATGAAATTGCCTTAGAACATGACATGTCCCTGTCGTTAAGTGACATATGACCGTATCTACTAACCACCTACCATGGGCCAGGTACAGTAAGAAACCCATGCACTCATTGCATGTGTGACTAATTCCACCTGTCACCATTGCCAACGACCAGGCCTGTCTTACGGAGGGAGAAGGTGAAGCCTGGGCAGGGGCAGTCACTTGCTGGGGAGTTGCTGAGCCTGGATTTGAACCCACATCCCTCTGGGACCCCAGCCCCCACTTTGTCATATGCTAAGAGCAGGCCTCCCTCTCTGGAAGATGTGTCTTCTGGTGGGGGGAGGTCGGCCTTATAGTGCTGCCACCATGTTGTATTCCTTTGCCTGCCCCCAGACCTGACCCTGGAATGGGTCCAGTTGTGTGTCTTTCATCCTTGGCTCGAGTTTGTCCCCAGTGCAGGAAGCCTGAGGCCTGACTTGGGGGCCCAGGCCGCAACTGTGGGTGAGTCCCCACCCTCCTCTCTCAGAGCTCCAGTTCCCTCACCTGCCAGGTGGGGTGGGGGTAGGGATGCCATGTACCTGGCTAGCATCGGAGCTCAGGGCTGAGGATGTCCATTCCAAGGCACTTAAAATAATGGCAAGTGATAAATAAAACGGAATGAGTTCAAACACAATGTGGACACCGGGGATTTGGTGAAGCTGCTGGTGGAATGTCGTCCGGCCTTCCTATGGGCGCCAGGCTATAAATAAGCCCCCTCCCTGCCTTCCTTCTTCCTTTCCTCTTCCTCCTTCCCCCCAGCCTTGTCCCTTTCCTTCCTTCCTTCTGCTGACAGGCCAGCTTTGCTCCTTCTGTAGAACTTGAGTTTGTTTTGTGCACAGGGCTGCCTGACCCCTCGAAAGGAAGGCTCTCTGCCTGGCTCAGGTCCTAACTCCTGGATCTTTAGACCTGGGGCGAAGGCAGACAGTGGGCCTCTGAGGACTCGACATAATAGGGGCTGGAGGCAAGGGTGACAGACACTGGGGCTTTGGAACCTGTGGCTCTAATAAGCTCACGCTGTCCACCTCTGCTTTGCTGTAGATGATACTAGAATTGCAGGGTGTTGAAAAGAATGTGGCCACTTTTCTGGAAATGGGGAGTGATTGGCCACATGGGGAGTGATACCTGCTTCCTGAGGTTTGCTCAGGGCTCCATGCCAAGCGCTTTGCATTATTTTCTTCAATCCTCACGAGAGCTCCACAGGGCAGGTACTATCATTCATCGCATTTTATGGATGAAGACACTGAGGCTGGGCACATGGAGGGCCGCCTGGTTCCAGGGCCAGACAGGCAGAGCCAGGCCCTGTCCCCAGGCTCTGACCACTGGACTCTGGTGCCTTCCGGGCTGTGGCAGCAGGTGTCAAAAAGAAATTGGGTGTATTATATGATTTCAAACAAAACTCCCTAGCATCAGAGCAATGACATAATTTCAACACTGGCTGTTCAGGGAGGGCCCTGTTGGGGAATCTTTGGCCGAAAGTTCCTGGTCTGTGAAATGGGTGTGAGGGTTCACTGAGAACCCAGACGTAAAGCGCCCTGTGTACTGGTGCTCAGTTAGAGCTGGGCCCAGTTTCTGGAAGGCTGTGTGCAGGGAGAAGGGAGTCGAGAAGGCCACATAACTGTCCCTGTCACCTTCCCTGATGAAAGTGATGTCTCTCCCAGGGTGGTTGTTGTTTTTTTTCGCTTGTTGACTGGGGATTGATGGAGCCTGAGCCTGATCTGGGGCAAAGGAGCCCTGGCAACATGGGAGGCTTGGAGCTGAGATTCAGGCCAGGGTGAGGGCTTCAGGAGAAGGAGTCAGGATGGTCACAAAGCCCAAGAATGTTTGATCACAGTGAATGTGGATTGTGTGTAGCTGCCTTTGACCAGGGCATGGCCTGAGCTAGTGCCCCGGCCAGAGGCAGGGAAGAGCCGGGGAAGCGCCAGATAGACTCGGGTTGAAAATGCTGCCCTACCGCCTATGGTAGCTTTGTGACTGCAGGCAAGTCCTTTCTCTCTCTGGGCCTTGGTTTCCGAATCTCTAATATGGAAGATTGGAACCACCTGTTTGGGGGTTTAGACGCTCCTTCTGGCACACATGAGGAGCTTGGTCCATGCTTCCCCTGCACCCCCTCCGCCACCTGCTATCTAAGTTCTAATCCTGTACTGAATTGGGCTGTATGAGGCCATGTATCTGGGCTGACTCAGTCCTGTCCCTCTCTGAGGAAATGCAGCTGAGGGACAGGACCAAGGAGCCAGACCCTTTGGTCTGAGTCATGGTTCTGCTGCTTTTTATCTGTGTGCCCTTAGTAAGCCATTTACTGTCTCAGGGCCTTGGTTTCCTGGATAATAATAGCACCTACCTATAGGGTGTTGTGAGGATTGAGAATTAAATGGATTTCTATCATAATAGCTCCCAATGAGTGGTAGCTATAAAAATAGTGGGAAGTATTATCATCATGCGTTTGTGTTACACTCTTAGCTTTGTCCAAGCTTATTCCAGTCGCCACGTACTATCTACTTCCATATTTGCCATAAAACTTCTGCAAAGAAGGCATTGTGCATTGCTTATAATGTCCTATGTGACGGTTCATCCCAGAATTCTTGCCAAGAGAAATGTCATCTTCCTAAATACGTTTCCTCCTTGCTGACAATTTGAGCTATGCAAATCTGCCTTTTAGTTTTTAGTTTTATTTTTCATTTTAAAATTATTATTATTATTATTATAGAGATGAGGTTTCACCAGGTGGCCCAGGATGGTCTCGAACTCCTGAGCTCAGGCAATTCACCCGCCTCAGCCTACCAAAGTGCCAGGATTACAGGTGTGAGCCACTGCACCCAGCTTATTATTTTAAAATTCAGTACTTTTTAGTACATTCACAGCAAATCACCCTAATTCCCTTTCTGTCTTGGCTGCCAGGAACCCCAAGTCAGATTTAAATCTCAATCAGAACAGCAATTATAGCTGATTTCTTTGCTTCCATTCCTTTTCCATCTGGCTTTCTATTTGACTGCATCCTGTGAGATGTACCTCTCTTGGGTCTTTAAGCCCATTATGGCATGAGGTCATGTAAGAAAAGAAATCAACTTATTATTATGTATAGAATTGAGGTAGTTGGTTTAATAGACTTGGTTATTCAGTTTACTGGGCAATTTTGACTTGGGTGGGGCCAGGGCAATGGATGTTCAAGGGACCTCAGAGACTACCTTTCTATTTAGGGAAAATAAGGCCTATAATGTTATTTCTTATATGTTATCAACTTTTAATTTGCTTTTCTGAAGCTGTGAATATAGTAGGGTTATCTACTTATGCAGCACATTCATTAGGAAATGTTGAATCATAACGAATCACAAAAAACTATTTACAATCTCCTACTGATCGTAAAAGCAGATTATAAAACAGATCAGCCTGCACAGATGTCAGGGTCGCCCTTACCTCCGTGCTTATTAAAATCCAGCCATCCCTGGACTCTGGAGAGAGAACCAGGCTCTCTTAGGATGGGGTGTGACACCAGTGCTTTCAACAGGCTCCACAGCAAAATCTGAAAACTCTTTATTAGCTGGTGACCTCCAGCAAGGTAACCCACTTTTCTGTGCCTCGGTTTCCTCATCTTTGTTTGTTTTTTTTACATTTTTTATTTCCATAGGTTTTTGGGGAACAGGTGGTATTCGGTTACATGAGTAAGTTCTTCAGTGGTGATTTGTGGGAATTTGGTACACTCACCACCCAAGCAGTATACACTGAACCCAAGATTTCCTCATCTTTAAAATGGGCATTAACCATAGCCGCTACCTCAGGGGGTTGTCAGGATGACATCTCAGCCTAGGTCTTGGCACGCTGCAAGTGCTAAAAAATGCTCACTAAAATGATCACTGTTGCTGGTCCAACTCTTCAGCATTTCCCATGGGGAAAACGGGGCTGAGGCCTGGCTCGGCCACCCACTGGCTGTGTTGACTATGCGTGGGGCCCTGCCCCTTGGGCCTCGGTTTTCTCCCCTGGAAGGAGAGGATTATTTGTGTGAGCCATGAGTGCCCCCGGTGTGGATGTGGTGGCCAGGTGTGCAGGGTGGGTCGTGGGTCCGAGGACCATCTTACCTTCGTTGCCCTCGCCAGGTGGGTGGTAGAAGGACAGCCCCAGGGAGATGATGGCGGCGATCTCCAGGATGATGAGCGTCACATCCTGCAGCGCCTCCCACACGAGCTGCAGGAAGGTTTTTGGCTTCTTTGGAGGTATAAAGTTTTGCCCAAAAATTTGCTTTCTCTTTTCCAGGTCTGGAGCGGTGCCTGGCAAACCTGCGGACAGACAGCAGGGAGATTGGCCTGGGGGCCCGGGAGAGACACAGGCGTGTTCTGGGAAGGTAGGGACAGAGAGGGAGAAACGGAGCAAGAAACTTGCAGGTAGCTGGTCCAGGAGCCCAACATCTCTTGGTGCTTTGGGTCCTAAGTGGGTTCCTGCCAAAAGCCAGAGACACCATGCAGTGGGTTGAATGGCAGCCCCCAAAATATATATCTACATCACGATCCCCAGAACCTGTGAATGTGACCTCATTTGGGAAAATATTCTTTGTTTTTGCACTTAAGGATCTCATGATGAGAGCATCCAGGATTATCTGTCTGGACCCTAAATGCAATGACAGGTATCCTTACAAGAGACAGAGACACAGAGGGAAGATGGCCGTGTAAAAACAGAGGCAGAGATTGGAGTGATGCAGCCACAAGCCAGGAAACAGCTGGGACCACCAGATGCTGGAAGACACAAGGAAGGGCTGTTCCCTGCTCTTCAGATGGAGGTGGCCCTGCTGACATCTGATTTCTGACTTCTGGCCTCGAGTCATAAGAGAATAAACTTCTCTTGTTTTAAGCCACGCACTCAGTCTGTGGTCATTTGCTGTGGCAGCCCCAGGAATCGAATCCACACTCCTATAGCCACCTCACACCGGCACCCTCCTTCCGCTGTTCCTCCTGTCGAATGCTACACAGTATTTAGAGAAGAATCAGAAGCCACTGCCTGGATTAAAATCCCAGCGTGACAGCCTTAGCTCTCTAAGCCTCAGTATCCTCTTCTGTAATAGGGATGATGGTTGTACCTAACCCATGGGTGGTTGTGAATATCACATGAGGTAATTAATGTCATCCATGAGCATTTATTGAGTACCTACTAAGTACCTGGCACAGTTGCAGACACTGGAAAAGGGCAGCCTACCAGACAGAAGAGTGCCCACTCAGGAGCGGCCCTTACTGTGGATGCCTTGCAATGTGCTCGGAGCGTGCCTGGTGGACGTGCAGCTGACGCTGGTGGCTTCTCCTCTTCTGGACAAGGCAGTGAGGTATAGCCAGGTGCACCTCGCATCACGTGGGGCCCAGACAGAGTGACAGGGGCCCACTTCCACCTACCATCTTCACTTCCAGATAATTCTTCCAGACTTGCAAGTCCACTCTCACGCCCCTGCTCAAAGGCCTTGGAAGGCCGCTCAATGTCTTTGGAATAAAGCCCATGTTTCCCAGCCTGGTTCCCTGGCCCCCTCATCTGACCTGCAACCTGTGTCTGCAGCCTTGGCTTTTGCCATGTGGCTTCCTCCCAGCAGAGCCAGGCCAGCACTTTGCCTTCCTCCTGCCACACTGTGACCATGCTGTGCCCTTCCCTGCTCTGGCACTGGCTACTGTTTGCCTGTCTCTACATCCCCTTCTAAACTCCCTGGTACCAGGGTATGGACAATCCACAATTGGCAAACCCCAGGTGTACCTGTACCTTGCAAGAGGGGCCTGGAAGGGTGAACCTCTCATGGAGGGAATTCAGGTGTGTGACCAGGAGGGGTGTGGCTCTGGTAGGGAGGGCTCCCTCTGTCTACTGCCTGCTGTGCCCCTCAGAGGCTGGTGCTTCTCCTTGTTTCAGCCTTCCTTTCAAGCTGCTCATGTCACCCCAAGTTGCTGGTGTGCCATTTTATTTTTCCATAACAAGTGTCCCGTCACACTCCTGGGCCTTTGCTCCTGCTGTTCAGCAAACCAGGAGCAGCCTTTCCTCCACTCAGCACTATGAACGCCTCTCAAGGGCCCCTGTTGGGCAGCTTCCCCTCCACCCCAGGTAGACAGTGGCCCTCTGCCCTTACTTCCCACAGCCTTCCCCTCAGCGGGCTTACTGCTTCCCCAGACCTGTGTCCTACCTGGGCTGTGGCACCTTGGGAGCAAAGACTAGTCTGATTCCTGTCCCTCAGGGCCTGGCACCTGAAGCCTTAGAATCATCCCACCCACTAAATGCAGGTCTGAGTGTGGTGAGCCTGGCCCGAACAGTGCACACAAATGGGTCCTTGCAGTGGGCAATGCCAGTCCTATTGCCGACCCAGTGAACACTAGCTCTTCTTGTGTCTTAGTGAGGACAGATGGGGGTGGAAAGGGAGGGGCACACACCCCTCATCAGACCTATGGCCTTCAGTCTGCTCCTGAGAACAGCACTACCAGCATGCTGGGGGTTGCAGGACTGGACCATGTGGTTGTTACATTGATGGGATCTTGTGGTCTAATAACATGGTTTTATGATTCTAACAGCCTGTTGTTGGTTGCTTCATTTACCCATTCATTAATTCATTCATTCATTCAATTTACGTTTCTGGAGCCCCCACTGTGGGCCTAGCCTGGTTCTGGGAAGAGTGATGCGCACGGAACAGACCTGGCTGCCCATGGATGTAAGCGCTCAGTGGTTCCATGAGTCCAGCAGCCTGTGGTTTGGGAGTCTGTCTGGGGTTCTAGATACTGAGTCTCCTCAGATGCTGACCATGAGATCTCCATCAGGAGCCTCCAAGTATCAGGCTGGCTGAGACACCCACACCAGGGGAGCCCAGGAATGGCTCCTTCCCTAGGAGACCTCACACTAGCCTGCCTGTCAGTACAGGTAAGCTCTGGAGATCCCATGTCCTGCAGGCAGTGAGAACGAGGGAACCCAGAGACAGGTTAGGCTCATTTCATAGATGAGGAGACAGGCTGCTCGGAGACCAAGTTGCTGCCATGGGGCAGCTCCTGGGCCCTGAGAGCCCTGCTAGCCCTGATCTAAGCACGTGGGAACACGGCCTCCACTGTTTAATGCTGGCTGGCCATCTGGGAGGTCGAGGCACAGAGTGTGCAGGCACGGCGCACTGCAGTGTGATGCCAGGAACGGCAGGAAGCTTCCCCGTCTTCCTCCTCTGGTCTAATTCTACCCACAGCCAACAACTGGAATTCCTCTACTTGACCTTTATTCCTTTAATCAAAAGCTCCAATTCCTTTAGACTTTCTGGGAGGGGGAAGCCATCATCAGTTCTGAATGCCATGGTGTGAATGAGTTTCAGGCTTTTTCCTGGAATGGGTTTTGACAAGGGAGAAGGGAGAGTTCAAGAGGGTGGTGGGCCTCTCAGGGAGGGGCTATGACCAGCCAACACAGGCCTGTTATGGCAGTTTGCTGTGGCTTTGGTCAGTCAATTCTCTTCTCTGAGCTGCAGTTTCTCCAGTTCAACAATGGGAGTGTTCAACAAGATGGGTAAGTCCTGAGAATCCCAGGGGTTCTGAGGTCTGCAGGCCCTGAAATGTTTCTCCTGGGGTCTGTTTTCACTTTTTGGGGCTCCTCGTAAAATTTGGTGCAAATTAACGTCTTTGCTAAGAAAAAGTAAGGGTGAGGGCAGCCAATCTTCTGGGCCCTGTCTGATTGATTCCAAGAGAGGGGAGTCTCTGAACCTTCTGAGTTCTGGGATTCAAATGTTCTGGGGTCCGCAGTGTAAATAGTTGATAATGTGAGTGTTCCGTTGTGGAAGTCAGGCCATGTCATGCTGGGGCTCTGTCATGCTGGGAATCCACAGGCCAGGCATTGCGATCCTGAGTCCTGGGACAGCAGAGCAGGGACTGCAAATGTGATAGATGTGGGGCATGGGTGGGTTTTGTGAATGAGTGAAGTAGGTGAGTGGGTGACATTAGGGAGTGGTAGAAACTGGAGCAAAGTGAAGAACCTTGGCCCTTCTGAAGAGGACAGCTGCTTTTCAGCTCCTGTGGGGGAATGTGGGCTGAGGGTGGCAGATCTTCCAATCTTCTAAGAGAAGCTGGACATCTGGAATTTGATGTAAAATCTCCCCATTAAAAACATGCCAGGGTCAAGTACAACATACCTGTGGGCTGGATTCAGCCCCTAAGTTGCTAGTTTGAGACCCCCAAGACTATGGGTTGAGACAGGGTGATGTGGCTGGAAGGGGGAGGGGTCGGCGCAGAGCAACTCTCTGTCCCTTCCACTCCCGGGCAGCTCCCTCCCCAGCCCCTGCCCTTGCCCACTCCCCACAGACTTCTGAGAGGCCCTCTGTTTTTAGAAATAACAACTCAGGGAATAAAAACACTGTGTGTTCTGCAGGGCTCTTCCCATGGCAGTTTCCACAACAAGCATCCCAGAATCAAAATCCAAGATGGGAACCCTGGGCACTGAGGCTCACATGAGTCCTCTGAGATGGTGGAGGTGGCTACGACGTCTTGCTCACTCCCTTCTTCTCAGCAGAAGAACAGCCAAGCCAGAGCTGAGGCTTGGCCCCAACTTCAAATCCTGCCCTAAGAACACAGGCGAGATTTGAACTCGGATGGCCTGCGTTCAAATCCCAGCTCTGAGTGACCTTGGGTCAGTGGCTTCACTTCTCACTGCCTCAGTTTCTCCTTTTGTAAAATGCAGACAGTAGCAGTGCCTATTTTACAGGGTTAGGGAGAGGCTTCAGCAAGAGGTCTCACATAAGGAGCGTAGCGCTGTGCCTGTCACCAGGTAAGTGCACTGTGTCATTATTACCGACCAGTTTTTAGGCTGTGTAGGAGACTAAGCCAGACCTTCCAGAGAGGAAGACTTTGGACTGGCAGGATTTTGACAAGATGGGAAGGGGTCAGTCAAGGTGAGGAGAGGCACAGCGGAAGGACCTTGTGACTGCAGACAAGCCATTTCCCTCCTTTGGGCCTCTGTTTCCCCACATGTGACATGAAGGATTGATCTGGATGAAGGCTAGGGCTGGTGGCTCTGGTACTTGGTATCAAAAGATGGGGGTTTTGAGGACCTGTAGGTAAGACAGCTTGCCTGGTCCAGCCTAACTGTCATGCCCTTCCCAGGAGTTGAATCCTGTGGTCTCTTCCTTTCTGCTGAAAATTAACGCAGATATTTTTGGGAGTGGAAACAACAGAGGCTGGTGTGAGAGATGAATGGCATTGGAGATTCAATTTAGATGAAGGAGCATCTCACCATTTAGCATATTAAAAATTAATACAGGGTGTCAAAGATCACTGGACAAAGGCAGCAAGGCCCTGCAAAT